ATCTTGAATCTTCTTGTCTTTGAAAGCAAGTACCACAAGTGTAGTACCTCTAATGGCTCACAAACACCAAGAGCAAATGGAGAGGCAAGAGAGAGAGAGGGGAGGTATGAAATTCGGCTCTAGGAACCCTAGGTATCAAGTGGCCGAATTTCTTATGCCAAGGGGTCTTTATATAGGTGTAGGAATTAGGGTTTCAGTCCTTATCCTTATCTGGTTGCTTAGCCACCAAGCAGCCCAAAGGATAACCCTAGAAACCTTATCATGGACGAATTCTAAGGCTTATCCCCTTGAATTCATCCACCCTATCATATAGGGCATCCTTTGCCCTACTTTGCAACTATCACATAATTACAGTTCAGTCCCCTTAGTTCAATTAACTTCTTTTGATCACAAAATTAATTCTTAATTAATTCTTGACCAATGTTAACTAAATAAATATGATTTCTCTTTTAATATATTATTCATATAATATATTAATAAACCATAATAACCTCTTTCTCTATTATTTCTCCAGTCAAGTTGCTTTGGCGAAGGCAACCCAAAAGGACCATGCACAACCGGGTCAAGTACTTACCAAATATGGTTACGGGCTTAGACACTAATCCAACAGCCTACCACTGAGCCTTGATAAAAGAAGGTATGAATAGATGTTGTGAAAGATTCAAATGCATCTGACTCACCATCACCACCACTACCCACTGTACAATCAACTGATAAGGATTCAATTATTAACGAGTTGCAAAATGATGTTAGTGAATGTTGCGAGTAGTTGAGGGCATATGAGATGCGTTTTGTAGATCTTGAAGTTATGATAGCCATGCTTCTAAAAGTTAATAATAAGGTTGCTGGAGATGATGTTGGTACTGCAAAAGGGGTGTAACATCCTAAAAAAATCATAATTTTTTTTCAAAAACAACCCATTAACCATAAAGCGTTAACAAAAAAGCCATTGTTCAAAAGTATAACCATAATCAGAATATCCCAAGATCCAATGTCATAAAAATAAGAAGACGTGCACGATCACGCCTTCGCTTTCCCACGATCCTATGAAGTACCTGAAACAATAAACTAAAACTGTAAGATAAAGCTTAGTGAGTTCCCACAAAGTACCATCACACAACATAACAAAAAACAACAAGCAAATATGAGCCTTCGGCCTGACTGGACCACCTCGCAAGGCCTACAACCTATCTAGACCGCTCGATGGGCATTTGTCCTGACTGGACCGCCTCGCAGGGCCTACAGCCTATCCGGACCGCCCCGTGTGTCTTTGCCTTCAGCACAAAAGCAGGACCACCTCAACCCAACCACAATATGTCGCCATATACAACACATAAAAATAAACACATATCAAGCAAATACAGGTAATCGTAAAGATCTACCAATCTATCATATAACCAGCATAACATCATCCTATATACCCGAATACATAATCTAGGGGGCTGGTATTGGTGTCTTTGCCCCACAAGTATAGTAAAGAAAACTCACCTCTCAGTCTGAAAACATCGTTGAATAGGACATTACTCTGACTATTAGCTCCACCGGTCACCTATTTATCAAATAGTGACCAATCTCAAATACAACCCAAAATACCCAAAATACCCTTAGGTCAAACTTGGTTAAACCCGGTCAAAGTCAAAATCAATCCATACTCAAAAGTCCCACAATCCACTAGTCATGTTGTGATCCCTAATGGTCACATCGTGACCTAATAAGTCCAAAACAGTCGAGGAATGCAATCCTCACATTGTCAAACCCTTGTGCTTACGTCGTGAGAACGCTCATCAGATATTCTTAATAAAACTCTTAATCTCTTTTTGGCCAAGAAAACAAACGCTCCCTAGTGTTTTATTTACTCCAGAACATCATAAAAATTGTGGCTTTTGGACATGCATGTCCTAAACACTAACAAGGGCACAAAAGAAGAAGATAGCAACTATACTACTCAAGGGACACTAGAGATCCATAAAGTTGGCAACTTTATAGGTTTCAACCACTACATCATCTTAAATGTGAAGGATCAAGCATAAAAAAATCTAGATCTAAGCTTATTGACTCATAAAGCAATGAACTTGAAACTCACAAAAGGTCTAGAAGGTGTGAGAGTGCTTGATGGAGAGACTTGAATGAAGAAATGATGGAGCAGATGCTCTTCCTCTTCTTCTCCTTAGCTAGAATCACCACAAACAAGCTCTAGATCAAATATGGATGCTAGGGGTTCAAAAGGGGAGTGCAAGGAGGTGATGGAGGCTGGGAGTGGGATAACCCTAGCCCTCACTTCCTTTAAATACTGAGTAAAACCCCCAAAATTAGGGTTTTCTCTCATGATGGTCTCACGTTGTGAGCCATATGTGCTCACGACGTGAGCCTAAAGATGATGTGTGGGTTCATTAATCTCCTCACGACGTGACATACATATCTCACGTCATGAGTAGGGAAAAACCTTTGAATTTTTAATTGACAATTGATCACCTGAACTAAATGTTACAATTCTCCCTCACTTGATCTAGACTTCGTCCTCGAAGTCTGCTTCTGTGAATAACTCAGGGTAATGCTCCCAAATCTCTGACTCGGTTTCGTACGTCCATTCGGAACCTTTCTGATGCTGCCACTGAACCTTGACCAAAGACACCACCTTGTTGCGCAAGCCCTTCGTCTTCCGATCTAAGATTGACGTTGGTCTCTCAATATAATTCAGATGATCACCAACCTAAACATCATTCAGAGGAACAATCGCTGAATCATCAGCCACACACTTCCAAAGCTGCGAAACATGCAAGGTGATGTGGATCTGACTGAGCTCCTCAGGCAAATCCAGCGTGTAAGCTACTTTGCCGACCCTGGAAATCACTCGGAAGTGCCCAATATATAAGGGCACCAACTTGCCCCTATTCCTACAACGTATTACACCCTTCCAGGGCGATACCTTCAACAAAACCATGTCGCCGACCTGGAAATCCAACTCAGATCGACGTTGGTCGGCATAATTCTTCTGCTAGCTCTGAGTTGTCTGCAGCCGCTGCCTGATCTGCTGAATAAGCTCTGTCGTATGAAGGACCACTTCAGTCCTTCCCATAACCCTGTGACCAACCTCTCCCCAACAGACTAGAGTATACCATTTCCTCCCATAGAGAAGCTCAAACGGCGACGCACCGATACTGGAGTGACAACTGTTGTTATACGAGAGCTCAACTAAGGGAAGGTAGGAGTCCCAACTCCCACCTAAATCTATTACACAACCTCTCAACAAGTCCTCAAATGTCTAAATAGAGTGATACCCAGTTCATCATGGAACTTCTGCCAAAAACGGGATGTGAACAGAACATCTCGATAAGATACAATGGAGAATGGAATACCATGTCGATCAACGATCTAATGCACATATAAATCAGCCAGTTTCTCGGCCGAAGAGCTATCTCGAATGATTAAAAAGTGGGCACTCTTAATCAGACGATCCACTATAACCCATATCGCGTCGAATCCCTTAGCTGTCCGAGGTAACTTGGTGATGAAGTCTATATTAATATGTTCCTATTTCCACATGGGAACCTCCAATGGTTGCAGCTTTCCATGTGGTCTTTGGTGCTCGGCCTTGACCATCCGACAGGTCAAGCACCTCTCAACATATCAGGCTATCTCTCTCTCTCTCTCTCTCTCTCTCTCTCTCTCTCTCTCTCTTCATGCACAACTACCAATAACTAAGTCTTAAATCCCGATACATCTTGGTGGCTCCAGGGTGTATCGAAAATCTGGGCTTGTGCGCCTCCTCCCACACCTTTTGACCGACTTTTAACCGGCTATCACATGTGATAGCAGGACAAAGGGTTATGGTGAACACAAACAACAAGTTCGATGGTATATTGGGTACAAAAAAAGGACCAAATGAGAACAAACTCAACAGTTGGTTACCCCTCTGAGTCATTTTCCCCAAAAAATTAAATGAATTTAAAGTTGCAAAAGTATTGAAGGTTGCAACCTTCTTAGGCCATAACATACATGAAGAGCGTTTCGGAGGGGTAGCTTCGTCAAAACATGGTCTATACTATGCTTACTTTGGTTAGCTGTCAACAACTCTCTGCAAAAGGATATGATTGTGTATGAAATGTATATTTATCAGCATAAACGTTTACCTCAAGGTATATTATGGTGATGTGTCTACAAAAGCTGCATGATCTTGTACATATTGATGTTGTATTTTATCCTATGAATTCGATCTTAAAGCCAAGTAAACTCAAAAATCACAGCACCTGTGATTCTACTCGTTTGTAGACTTGTTCAGAATCCATAATACGATAAATCATTTGACTGGAAATGTAAATGTAGTCATGAAATGCACTTGCTCAATCAAGATTCTCCTAATAAATATTCAAGTGCATTACAAAGTTGTACATGTATGGATAATTTTCTTTCGTGGGTTATGTTTTAAAGAGAAGCAAGAATAAATCTCATAAAATCATTATTCATTAACATGAGTAGGAGATGACGTGAGATTTTCTGTAAATGAGTAAGGGAAAATGACTCGGGAGGGTAACCAACTGTTAAGTTTGTTTTCATTTGATCATTTTTTTTATCCAATATACCATCAAACTTGTTGTTGTGTTCACCATAGCCCTTTGACCGGCTATCACATGTAAAATACAATAAAAATACAATAAACTTTTGACTCAACATTTATACTATTTTGACAAAAGAAATGATGAGCTCCTAGTGGACGAAACATAATCATCAACTATTGAATTCTTGGTGACACCTTAATTACTCATAAACACTCCAACTAATTTCATTATTATGATGTGAATATTTAACTTATTCAATAGTCGAACCAAGAGTATTACATATACTAATTTATAAAATCGCAAATTTATACTTAGTTGAAATCTAAAGTCAGGGCCACCGACTTTGGTTTTTAGAAGATATATAATTAGATCGACCAAGAAAAAAAAAAGTAGGACGCATATTAACAATCAATCTGCAAATATGATACCATATCTCTTAACATTTCCAATATATATAACAATTTACCTCCTACAAACTATATCATATAATTATAATATACTTAATCACAGTTAAAAAAAAATTAAATCAGTAAATCCCAATCACAATCACAAATCACCAGCCATTAACTTATGTTGCATTTGAATTGAGAAAAAAATCTTCATCAGCCATTGAACAGGTTTCAAAAGGTGTGCTCTCTTCTTCCTCCAAAACCATATTGCAGCATTATACTGTTGATTCCGAATCACTTTTGTAGCTGCCCGCCAATCAAACTTCTCCATTTCCATTCGGGCAGCCTGCCCGATATCTTCCCGTAACTTAGCATCATGCAAAAGTGGAATCACTTTGTTTAAACAATCTTCAAGATCTCCAGGGGTGTAAAGGTACCCGGTTTTGCCCTCCTGATCTTCGGGTATAATGTCAGGAATACCCCCAGCTCGGGCAGCTACCACGGGCAGCCCGGATGACATGGCTTCAAGGACAACAAACCCTAGGGTTTCTGATTCTGAAGGCATTATGAACACATCACCACTTGCATATGCTTGAGATAACTCTTCACCTTGTAACATCCCTGTGAATACTACTGGTAACCCTATGAATATCTTCTCCAATTCCTCCCTAACATAACAAAAACAAATATTATTTTATTTGTTTTTATAAAGTTACAAATTTTGATTTCTTGATTTTGAAAGTTGGTATAAAAAGTGAATTATATATGATTTGTTTAGTTCATCTTACCTAAATGGACCATCTCCAATGAAAGCTATCCTTGCTTCCGGGATCTTTTCCATGACACTATGAACAATAAAAAAAGAATTTATCTATTTTCATGAAAATATATGAGTAATAATAATAATAATAATAATAATAATAATAATAATAAAGAATTAGAAAAGATACCTTTTAAGGAAATCTAAGCTCTTCTCGACACCAAGGCGTCCAACATGTACTATTAATGGGCGATGAGGTTCGCCATTTCTTTTTGACAAAATAAAAAATTGCATCAAAATAATGTATATTTTATAAAGATTTTTAAAGTTGAGGGACTAAATTGGTAATTAAGTGAGAGAATGTTGATATTTGTTACAATTTGCAAAAAGTTATAATCATACGTTAGTCTAACTCGCATTTCATGGCAACGAAACTTAGGATGGAAGCTTTCTGAGTCAACGCCCTTATTCCAAAGACGGATTTTATTAGCTGAAAAAGTAAAACAAACTCATGATAATTTATAACACATTTGTTTAATAATTTAAATTCAAAATATTATATGAATTCAAATTTAAAAATCAAGATCTTTAGGGTTTATTTAGCCAAGGCTTACCGGCTGTTACTCTTGCTTGTCGAAGATCCTTTGCTATAGCAGCCGATGGCACTAACGTGAGATCCGCTGCCCTATGAAGAAACTCTGATAGGAGAAGGGTAAATCCGTCATTTCACAAGCCAAAACGTTAGAAAGACTCCAAAACATAAAGACTACATGACAAATCACAAAACAAACGGTCTTATACTGCATTTGGCGTGCATTGGACTGGGACTAAGACAAATGTCTGCATTTGGCATGCATTGGACTGGGACTGAGACAGATGTCAAACAAAAAATGCAATTTTTAAGACTCGCTCTTGATCTCTCGTTTGTGCAAAAGCCATAAATGCCCTTGTCATCCTCATCATCGAATATAAAAAGCAAAAAGGAAGCATCATTACATACTTATAATCAACCACATTGGTTTGACAAGCCAGCTAAAAGTGTATCTTGGTATGTAACTGCATTATCAAAAGAGATTACTAAACATATGGAATGAAGGGTGTATTGAATCTTTGAGGAATCTTTTGAGGAATGGATGTAGTTTTGCTTACACGGGTACATGTGTATGATAAGACATCACAATAGGAACACACAACATTTTGGCAATAATAAGTGCACCAAAAACCTATAATTCACAACAAAAATGTTATCAATGTAACAAATGTTATAGGTTTCAAGAATTTAGAGAGACAAGAGTGTGATATTACCATAATACCCGGGGAGGATGCGTGGATGATATCCGGTTTAAATTGTTTAACCTCATTGATTATTCTTGGGCTCAATGCAAGAGAAAGTGGCACATTTTGATACCACGGGCAAGGGAAGCTAAATGAGAAAGAATCAAGATAAAGTTATTGGGTGTTTCTATTTGTATTTGACTTAATACAGAAAGAATGTCTTAATATAGAAAGTCATAGAAATGAAGCTTTCTCAAATAGGTTTAAACATTATTTATTCGAATAGCACTTTATCCCAACAACATGTAATGAAAATAAGAAAGAAACGGGGTAATTGAACATTGCAGAAGTTTTCATTTAACGTTATTGAAGGACATTTTAGACATCTTTTTAATGCTAAATAAAGTTTAAAACGTGTACTAAAGTGATAAAGTTCCTACCTTTAGCCTAAATTAACCATGAATTCTAACAAATAAAAAAATAAAATAAAATAAAAAATTGAAGGGAGTCAACCTTTTAGAGCCAACCAATTTGGCTCCATAGAACTCTTGAGGCACCCCTTCATGAGTAGTTACAACCATCACCTATACAAGTGAATTATATAAGTTTACTAATTGATTCAAAGCATATATATATACTTTTGAAAGATGTTCCATATTTTTTTTTTACTTATAGAATACATATTAATTACATCATGTTACTCAAATATTCAACTAAGGTTGCATTTGTCACACTGAAAAATTGTAATTTTCATGTAACAAACGGGACCTAACTGAATACCTAACAAAAAAGTTGCACATGATTGTCGTGAAAAAGAAAGAACTTGACCTCAATCAAATAAAGTTTTAAAGTTACACTCAACCCCATAGAAAGCAAGGATTTTGATATTTGATGATTTGGATTCTTAGCATTGAAATGTAACAAACAACATAATTTCATGATCTACATCTTACCTCATCCCCCATTTCACGGAGATATCTAATGAAGTTTTGGAATCGATTCTTGTACCCTGAAACATACCTGCAATCCAAAGAGATTAAATAGCTTGACAATATATCCATTAAGAGATGAAATACAGAATGAATTTGATATATAGGAAAAATCAAAACAATAAGAGAAATTGGCATCTACAAATATGATCGGATTATCCACATTTACAGTTTCACCATTTTATCAAGTAACAATCAAAGCGGAGTAGATTAATCGCAGTTAATCAGTTCAAGAAACCAAAAACCCAAATTGGAAATATCAAAATTTGTAAAAATTTAGAGAGACTCACGCAAACGGAGAGGGCTCAACAAAGAGAGCAATACGCCTAGGTTTAGAACTAATCTCCGATTCAACCTGAGAAGGAGGACCCTCTTCGTCATCTTTTCTCAACTCTTCAATTGTACCTTTATTAGCTGAAGAAACTACAATCGGTGTTCTTGTTTGTCGTTTATAATGAAAAGACCGATTCTTGAAGGGGCTAAAGCAGATGGGTTTTGTTTCAAAGGCATTGAAACATGAAATTCTTGAAGTAGTAACAATGGAAGAACAAGATGAGGAAGAAGATGCAGAGGAGGATGGAAGAGAAAGAGAAGGGTGTAACGAGAGCGAATATGTTGGCATGATGGTGGCGAGTAGTAACTAGTGAGTAGACAAATTGGGGGTTTTATTTGGGCGAATTGGAAAGGAATCAAAGAGGATTTATCTGGAATGGATGAAGGGATATTCCTATCGGTGGTGATGGAGAAATTGGGCGAATAATAAGTTGGAAGGTTTAGAAACAGCATATGCTGTTGCAGCTGCTATTGCTGAGGCTATGGCCCCATATGAAGATGGAGCTATGTATGAACTATCAATCAATCCCATCCACGACGGGTTGCCATTGCGATCGATGATGACACATGTGTGTATGTGTGTGTTTTCTTATCGTGTGCAATCCGAACCAAGCCAAGCGGAACAAACAGAAATGGGCGGAGAGATAGACAGAGTTAACGATATCGGGCTTCACTCGTTTTGAAACAAAATATTCTTTTTTCCAATTAAAAACAATTATTTCCTTATTTTGTGCATTTGGCTCTATTAGCAATAATAGGTAAAAAAATCAAAAAACCCTACATTCTTCTAAGTTTTCCGGCAGTAAGAATAAATAATCACAAAAAATCTCACATTCCATCACTATTATGTCACTATCCGTCGCTAATACTATTGTATATAAACAAATTCGGGCTTTCTAGACGACACCGATCTTGTGTGGTCGCTCTCTCTGCACATGTTGAGGGCCAGCCTTGACAGTTTGTATGATGCTTGGTATGCAACAATGTTTCCGCTTTCGGGACGGTAAAGTTTGTGGAAGGTGTTTCCTAGCATGATAACATTTTTTTAAACCCTCTGGTCATTCGGGTCGAGCCAAAAGTGACTTTGGTATGGAGAACTAATGGTCTTATTTAAATGTGTAGAGATTATATATATCATAAGGAGTTCTTTGCTTAGAGAGTTTCGGCCATATAACATTATTTATATTGCCATGAGAATATTTAGAGATAGAGAGAATCATGCATGCCACTTTGGCATTCCCATCATACACAAAGGGTGTATGGATTCCATCATTCTCACCCATCACAACCCACATGACACATAGATGCCGCATCAACTGTTCTCCTTCTTCTTACTTCCATTCATCCCAATCATCAACACGTATGGATCCATCTCTCTCATCCGATACAATATGGTATAAAATATAAATATAGAAGCACAAGGTAGAAGTTGAGAGAAGAGAAAATAAAACACCTCTCTTCTGATTTAATTGATTTAAATCATTTCAAATGTTTTTAATCAGATTCAAAACATAATTTGTAGAATTACGATCCTTGTAGTTGCGTTTTATTTACTTTTTCATAATTTATTTAGCATATTTTCATTCATTTTTAGTTAAACCATCATACATAATTTATTGTATATCCTTTTATAGCCATATCAGGTACTTTCAAGTGTCTATGTTTAAATTGTAGATTTTTAGAAGACTCAAATATAGTGGATGTCAATTGAGAGAGATGTGACATTCTTATGGGCTTGGAACAATTTATTTCAGCTTGGAGAAGACGATGGAGATAATGGTGGGTATCTTCAAGACTTGGATGAATAATTGGGCTAAGGGATGTAATGATGGACTCTTTATGATGTTTAGGTTTACTTTTGAAGTGTTTTGGACTATATTTTTGGGATAAATTTCGGATCTTAGTAATATATGAAAGTGATGACAAGGAATCAAGAAAGATCAAGATGAAATGGACCTACACATGCAAGTTAATGGATGGAGAAAAAACTTCACACGGTTACATGAGTTTTATGCCTTTATCCCAAATGACCTATGTGGCTTAAAAAATGTATTTTTATCTTTTTTTTTCTAGGAACAACAAGGGGTATGGTTGGTGTTACTTTTAAGGGAAAATGACTCTTTAGGGTAACTAACTGTTGCTTTTGTTTTCATTTGGTCCCTTTCCTTTTTTTTGTACTCAATATACTATCGAACTTGTTGTTTGTGTTCACCATAACCCTTTTGACCGGCTTTTGACATGTGATAGCCGGTCAAAGGGTTATGGTGAAAACAAACATCAAGTTCGATGGTATACTGAGTACAAAAAAAAAGGAAAGGGACGAAATGAGAACAAACTCAACAGTTGGTTACCCTCTTGAGTCATTTTCCCTGAAAAGTTAAATGAAATTAAAGTTGCAAAATTATCAAAGACGACAACCTTCTTTGGCCATAACGTATATGAAAAGCGTTTCGAATGGGTAACTTCGTTAAAACAAGGTCTATGTTATTCTTACTGTGGTTAGCTGTCAACACCTTTCTGCAAAAGGATATGACTGTGTATGAGAGGTATATTTATCAGTATAAACGTATACCACAATGTATATTATGGTGATGTGTCTGCAAAAGCTACATGATATTGTACATATTGATGTTGTATCTTATCTCATGAATTCGATCTTAAAGCTAAGTAAACTAAAAAATCACAGCACTTGTGATTTCACTCGTTTGTAGACTTGTCTAGAATCCATGATACGATAAATCATTTGATTGGAAAAGTAAATGTAGTCATTAAATGCACCTGCTTAGTCAAGATTGCCCTAATAAGTATTCAAGTGCATTACAAAGTTGTACATGTATGAATAATGTTATTTCGTGGGTTATGTTTTGAAGAGAAGCAAGAATGAATCTCATAAAGTCATTAATATCAGCAGGAGATGACGTGAGATTTACTGTAAATGAGTAAAGGGAAAATGAATCAGGAGGGTAACCAACTGTTGCATCTGTTCTCATTTGGTCAATTTCCTTTTTTATGTACTCAATATATCATCGAACTTGTTGTTTGTGTTCACCATAACCCTTTGACCGGCTATCACAGGTCAAAAGTCGGTCAAAAGGGTTATGGTGAACACAAACAACAAGTTCGATGATATATTGAGTACAAAAAAAAGGAAAGGGACCAAATGAAAACAAACGCAACAGTTAGTTACCCTAAAGAGTCATTTTCCCTACTTTTAAAGGATGTCAAACAAACCAGTAGGGGGCTTGTTGATAACGGTTTTCTTAGACTTCTTAGAGCTTTGGAAGTCTTTATTTTATATTTTTTAAGTATGTATGTTTTGTACACTAATTCCTTTTTTCTTTCTAATTCATGAGTGACTAATTTCTTCTCTAATCAATATTGGATGTAATCCATAAACATTAGCTTGAATTTGAATATTGTATGAAATAGTGATTCTAGATCCATGAATGTAATTTCTTCTTAAAGTTCTATGTCTCTCTTATGTTTTGGTTCAAGCATTCAAATATTTAAATGATAATTAATTAGTTAGTTGTTTTTTTTATAAGCATCAGATCTTCAAAACAATTTGTAGGAAATGGTTTTTGCAGATGTTTTCATTTCAGTTTAAAACCATGAAGTTATGTTAATTATGTAAATGGTATTGTAAGTTTTTGACTCTTTTTGGATTTGATGATTCTTATGTATTAAATCTACTCAATTTTCATGAACCAAATGCTTATATGATTCAAGACCTTGATAAAAAAAATGTATGTTAAGAGCTTCTCTAGCCACCATATCAATTCAAAAGAATCTAGAGGATTCAAGTTTTAGTTTCTATAACAAAACTATATTAAGTCACAAGTATTACACCATAAATCATAATGATAAATTAGCTAATTTTTATGTGATGAAATTTCACTGTTGATTACCCCATATTTATTAATTAATATCATTAGTTACTTACCATGTTGCATCTTTTACTTGTTTTTTGTAAACTTAAATTTTTACAAAAACAAACTAAAATCCCCCTCTTTTAATTAATAGTCATTACAAAAACTATAACGCCCGCAAATTCGGGTTAAACGTTTAAGGTATAATAATAATAGTTATACATTTTATCGAACAATTAAAACTTTTGAATATAGTAATTGTTCTTCATACATGTTACGAGCTAATAAATATCCATCGTATACATGTCATATGAACAAATATTAAGATTATATAATATTTGTAGAAAACCGTAATATAAAATTTATCGTTAAACAATAAAATAAAGTGTAAAAATAAATGATTATTCAGGATAAATAATCTAAAAGAAAGTCGTAGATACCGTAACCAAGAGCACGTGGATATAAAGAACGCCCAAATCTGACTTCATATGAGAAAGTTATGATTTATCTAAATTTCGCGTTCAACCCGATACGAAAATGTGCATCATATAAAGTGAACCGGAGATAGGTTTCTTTTTAGCTAAAGTAAAGTAAAGGAAAGTCGAAGTCCTCATGAATACGAGATTGTGCATAAAAAGAGCGCCTAAATCTGACTTCGTATGACGAAGTTCTGATTTTTCGTAACGTCATAATAAAGTAGTATGCGTCACAGAGTATGAAATAAAGATCGGTCACTCGTTAGACAAAACTATCTAAACAAAAGTTGATATTTATGAAATTACGAATCCGTTGAGATAGAGAACATCGAGAACGGAGCTCGTATTCGAAAGATATGAGCGAAACTTGGTCCCTACTCTTTAGGTGCGGCGAAATATGCACAGATTTGTAAATTTGAAATAAAATGTGAATTAGTTAACCAAGTCTAAATGAAAGTTGTATTACTCGTCGATACAAATTCAATGATATAAAGAACGTCAAAAAACAGAGCTCGTATGCGGAAGATACGAGCGAAACTTGGGCGCTACTCCCCGGACGTGGCACGCCCTATGTCGAGAAGTCTATAAATAGTGAGCCAAGCCTCCCTCATTCCATGCTCATTCATGTTTAGGTTTCTTTCTCTAAAACTTTAGCCTTTTGAGCCCCAAAGTATTCGCGACGAAGTGTTACAACGATGGAAAGAAAGAAGTGTTTGGTGTCGTAGTTATGTTTGCGGCTTTCCAAGTTTATCACTAAACAACATGTAAGTTGAGTTATGCTTATCATACTTTAAGTATAACTTATATTTATGTTCGTAGTTGTTATTATGAACTTATAAATAAGATTTATCAGTAATATCAATCGTTATACTGATCGATCTACTTACATGAGTGATATCTAGGCTAGATATGTGAGGTGTTTAAAGTGGATTTTACAAACATTGTATCTCTATATACGAAACAGATCCTACATCTAATACGATCTTATATGGTTGTTCCTTACCAGCTATACTTCAGCATTCTTTTGGGATTATTGATATATATGATAAAAACATTATAACAGTTGAACTTTATAAATACGAACGAACACTAAAGCTTAGTAATATTCGTATTTATGTCGTTTTAAAGGAAAATCTAAAGTGTCAGTCAGAGAGTTGACTTTCCCACGAGTCTTCCACCTAAATCAATTGAGTGCAAAGTTACTTTCATGAACATGATTTTAATATAAGTGTGTAACTGCCCAAAACCCAGGTACAATTTTTCACCTTTGAAAATAGACATCCAATCATAATTAGTCATCCAAAAATCCATTACATTATATTGTA